GCACAGTACCTCTCAGGATTAGGCCTTCAACGGGAACCATGCGACATCCATTGCTCAGAGTCCGTCAATAACTGCTGTGCTTAGTTTTACTAACACAAGTTCTGTCTTTGGCTCTTTTGCTACAACCTAGGTATTTTTTGTAAACAATTTTTTCAATTTTGAGCTGCATCTGTTTAAAAATACAAACAACGTACTGATCTCGGGAAATCACTTATCAGCTCAAATTGAAAACAGTCCATCTTGGATCTTACCAAAAATGGGGAAAAACTAAAGCAAATATTTGCTGGTATGCTCAGTGTCACCATCCTTCCCCAAAGTTCGAGAAGGAAGGCTGCAAGTGTTTGCTGGGAATACCAGTGAAGCCTACGTGGATCAGTGCTTCTGCTGCATAATTCAGACGTGGCTACGGGGGCCTGAGAGAAGAGAGGCTGGGAGAGAGTGGAAAATCAGAACCCATAAGCTCAGCTGGAACCACAGTCTGCCCTTAGCTATGCACAGATCGAAAGGGTACGCTCAGGGATCAGTATTTAGGTCTAAGAGTTAAAAAATTAAAAATGAGATACCCCAATTCTAGATGGTCCCCATTCCTGCAGCTGTGACAAGCACATGATTCTAGTGCAGAAATCATCCAGAAGAGCAATATTCTTCTCTGGAATTCATTTGAGTAGTAGTGACCTTGGTTAACCTCGATCATTCCCTCTGCCCACCAAAGAGAACATGACTGAAGACCCTAGGAAAGAATGGCTTTAGGGGAAGGTCTGGAACCCGCTTGCACAAACTCGGATAAGAACTGGTGCTCTTGCTGGATTTGGTACTGTATTCGCAGTCACCAAGACACCATTGAAGTCCAGACAGTGCAGCTTTTTTTGATGTGCAACCATAAAAAGCTCTATTAAATAAAACAGAATACATCTTAAATACAGAATGATTAAAAAAGGGTTGAGGAGCACACAAAATAGGGCTGAAATGTGTGTCATTAGTCCACTCTTGCTCCACCATAAAAGGCACTGGAATTATGTCTTCCTATACATGTGACATGCTGAGAAGTGTTCCATTCGATCCAATGCATTCAATGGTAATGAGGATAAAACTGAGCAGGAAAAACACATCCCTTTAGAGGAAAAAAAAAATCCAAAGAATAAAAGAAGTAGAATTCTCAACGTTCATGAGTGCATCTAGAAATGTCTCAGGAAAGAGTCTTCCTTCTCCTCCAGAGGGGAACACCAGGTGGTTCGTTAGATTCACCACACAGGAAATGTTAAGTCCTCCAATTAACTGTAGCACAGTTTTATAGTACAATTGAAAAGTTAGTCAAATGTCTTCGGAAAGCACTGGCAGTGCCAGAATTACCCAAGTAAATCCAAAGCAGAAAGAAGCACCTTTCACACCCTCCACTGGCAGACCAAGGGGGTAACTAGACTTGGAGGTACTTGGCAGATGTAGACACAGGCGGGTGGGAATCCACCAGCACTGGACTTTCTGCAAGAAAGCCAAGCCACCCGAGTCTCCCTGCAAGTTTTAGCGCTTGCCAGTGCCAGGGAATGCGTGAAGGGCAGCAGCAATAAAACAGTGCTACAAATGCTTCTCTCATTAGGGCATGGCTCAAGATGACCCTTTGTGTAAGGCCTTGCTCTGAAAGCCTCTGAGCAAACGTGCCAATGAGCTCCTCTTTGCAGTTCAGTCTCTCCAGTTGTCGTGAGAAAAAGACACAGCTGGTATTCAGTCTTCATGACCTGTTCCTCTTGGTTTTTATCCTATGTGTGCTCTAGCTCCCCTCCTTGCAGATGTCACAATTTCCGCTGCTGCGCATTGGACCCTTTGCCATGAAGCTGAGAAGCATCTGAAAGAGATCAAAACCAAGTGGGAAGGGGTTTTGGCATCAGCTACGTGGAGCTGGGTGCAGCTGGGGCAGCCAGATCTCTCTGCACAGAAAAGCCTACTTTCACCTTCAGCCACCAAGGAATCAGGGGTAAGAGGAAGTGCTTCAAAGACATCTAATAATTGGAAGCAGCCCTTCCTCTGCATCCAGGCAACAGCCATGGGAAGCACTGAGAGTCTCCTGTGGTCTCCCAGCAAAAGCACCAAAGCTTTTTGCTGGGAGGCTAGCTAGCCTACCAATTTATGCTACCATGTACCCCCATCTAGGAAGCTAAAAATACATGGTATTTGCTGCCTAACATCTAAAGGTGGGTTCAAATAAAACTGTTAGCAGACCTTTGCCATTGCAATGAAGGCTTTGGGTGCACACTGATAGCAAAAGGATTCACAGGAGCCTAACCACTGAAGGAAAGGAACAGCTGTGGAGGGGAAAGAGAAAATGCAGCGAAGAGAGAAAAATCAAGAAAGTTTAAGGAAGCAGAAGTTATCAGGAGCAACTAAAACTAGCGTCAGACTATCACGAACAAAGCACTGAGCGGGGTAGCAACAGCTTCTTCTTCTCCAGGGCAAGGACAGTTTACCCCATGCAAGAGCTCAGTCCCAGCACGGAACCTCTCTGAAGCAAGCAGAACCATTGTCATGGCACCAGCGCACATGCACCTCCAGCAGCAAATGCAGCAGTAGCAACACACAAGCAAATGCTGAATGCTCTTTGCTCAAATGCTTTTTGATGAATGTCGGTATAAGAGCCTTTGCTTAAGACATCAACATTTCCTTGCACGTACAGAGACCTCTGAACACACTGGAGTCTACTCAGTTTTCAGACAGAGTGATACAGCTGGGGCTGTCTATACAGCCAGCCACAGTTTAGTCCACAAAAAGAAATTAATATATTTTAAGACTATGATTGTCACTTAAGTATCTACTTTGGCAAAGCACAATTGATAACATCCTCAGAAATGACAACGCTGAGCTCAGTCTCCAATCTTTATGCAAAAAGACCAAGGAAGGAAGAATCCAGCATGCCACTGTAGAAGCTGTTTCAGTGGTCACTTATTTCTAGTTGCATTTTGTTTGCCCTCAGCTTCTGGCACTACATCCGGTCTGTCTAAAAGCAGCAGTCCATCAAAAAAAATTCTTTTGTTATGAGCTCTATAAGCCACAGTGAAGTCACCACTCTAAATTCCCTCAAACAATGAGACAGAGAACTCCTTCTCAGTGACACAGAATACATTTCACAACCCTTGTTCAACTAGAAATCAAACATCTCACTCTCCAGTAACTGTAAATTTACAAATACAGCTTAAAGCAGAAAGCCTTCCATTCTTCCCTATGGATCAAGGAAAGGTCTTTCACTCCAGTGATTGCTGCCAGTAGCTGCTGCTTCTGCTCCATCTCAGTGAAGAGCTGTAAAAACATGGCTCAGGCAAACTTCAACAAAAGAAGCAGAGACGACAAATTCTTTGAATTTTCACCAGTACACAGCACTCTTCTTCCTCCAGCAAACAAGCACTGTCCTCAACAGTGAAGGGCATTTTACCCCATGACTGCTCTGGGAGGCCAGATTAACTCCAGCAGCTTATCCACACATCTACTAATAGCCCCAGTGCCACAAAATTAAGCTAGCACATCCACTCCCAGATCAGACACATGTTGCCCAGCAAGAGCATCACTGTAGGAGCAGATGCTGGGAGAGTAGCACTGAACTGCACTGAAGAGCCAAGGGATACTTGATGAAGAAAGCAGAAATAGCTGCAGCAACTACCATGGGGTAAGCAACTGCCAGAAGCAGATGAGCCCAGTCCTGAACCCTCGCATTTTCATTTCCTGAACGCTGCATGGACCCCCTCACTTCTTTCCTTTCTCCATAGTGCCACCATGTTTCCACACACTCACGGCCCACCAAGCCACAGCAGGCAGGACTCCATTTACGAGCAGAGAGGGTGTTCTTCAGAAATCTCTCGTCTTGTGCATTAGGTCTGCAGGCATCAAACTGAGGCAGGAACAGGCTTAACTGCAAAATCATCACATTGTCAACACCAAGTAAAGCAGTTTCCATTCACACTACAAACCTGTTGTGAGGGAAATGCAGGCAATCAGCTCAGTGAACAGATGCAAGACTGTCTGGTCCGACACATTTTATGTAGGTCACCAGTGACAAAACTCCAACAGCCAGAACGTTCAACCCTAGGAAGTCCTAGCAGCCTGTACGTAAACACGCACAGCTTTAACCCTAGAAGAATAATTCTTTACTACGACACAAACAGCAAAGCTGAGGACCTCCAGGAGCCAACACTTGCTATAAGTACCGAGGGCTCATCATTCTACAGCTGAACAAGTTTGTGCTGGCCAACTACATAGTAAAGGTGCAAAGGGCTAAGCCTAGCTCTGTATCTTGGAGAGGCTGGAGTTTTTAGCAGTGACTGCACCTGTCAGATAATGTGGAAAACAACTTTGCCTTCACCCCTAGAATAGGCATCTGCCAAGGTACAGGATGACTCACGACGCAGAAGACAAACAAGACTGTCTGACAAGTTACCTGGCAAACTTTGCGGTAAATGAGTGGACAGGGCAGAATGTGGGAGTGGCGCTGCATGGTGGGGGCTGGAGTGCAAGCCAGCTAGAAGACCTAGAGAGAAAAACAAAGAAAGGAGAGGAAAAAAAAGAACAAATACACATTGAAGACAGAAACAAGCAGAGGAGCTGCAGTTAGGGCCTATAGCTTAGCCTCCAGCTATTGGGACTTCTAGGATAGCTAAAAAGATGTGCCCAAGGTTCTCCAAATACAATTGCTAGAGATATAAATGCACGAACTACAGCATGAAGCAACAGCAAGAGAGATGAGTTTGTCTGCAATGGGTTAACACGGCAGAGCAATGTTGTTCTTGTTATTTGACAGCACAGGCACAAGTAACATGCACATGCATGACTGGGAGGGCACTCACTGTGGCCAAGGCCATGGTGGAAAGTTCCTGGGGCAGGTCCCGTAACTATTGCATCCTTTGATACGCCTGCTTTCGGGGAGGAGTCTGAACTGAAGGAGATGACATGAAGAGGGAAGGAATGAATAGGAGAGATAATACCTAAAGGGGTGGAGCTCAGAGCAGCTGGCAGCTTTGGATTGCTGGACTTGTAGGATGGAGACAGTACACTTAAGGAGGAAGAACTTGTTAGCAGCACAGCTCCACTAGTTCCTTTCTGAAAGGCAACAGAAAAAGTCAGTCAGGGGTGGGAAAGCCATGGCATTTCATCGTTCATACTTAACAAGGAACTGCAACACATAAAGAGCTGAAGACTTCTGCCATGCAAGAAAAACCCTCCCAGCCAGGGCCCAAGAGCTGCCAGCTGCTGAGCATGAGGAGATGCCCAGGACAGCGACCATCCAGCCACTGGATGCTGCACTCTTCTAAAAGTGATTGTACTGGATCTGATCCTATCGCTCTCCAACTCTGGAACTTTGCCTCCAATAGACAGAGGAAAAGCCTAATCATGCCCTATGATTTCCAGGAAGCGTCCTTCTAACTTCCAGCAGCGTATCATTGCCAGCAACTCAAGGCATCGAGGCTTGGTATACCTCTCTACGCAAGAATGTTATTTGCTGAGAGATCTACTCCATTGCTGAACGCTTTTCGGCTATCTCGGTAACAACTGGCTCCAGAGGTTGAGCAACATATAGTTTTCAGGCCCATTTAAATATATGCATTTAATTGCACAGTGATCCTCTCTGAGCTCTTTCCCAGTGCCACAAAAGAAGGCAAATATCAGCAGCTGCCAAGTAATTAATATGACAGCATTAGGAATAACTAATTTTTTGTTCTGGATGAAAAACAAAGCTCCTATATCATTAAATGCAATGACTGAATAATGCAAGTCTGTATAGGTAAGCCAGGAGGTCCTTCATAAGACATCAAATTCCACTGAATTTTCAGACCCTGAATTTTGCAGTGTGGCACTGAGCTCAGTTCTAAACCATCACTCCAATCAGTTATAGGAGTGATTGAGGAGCAACAGAAAGTGGCAAAGAATAACCACCCAAGAAAGCTGGGCAGGCATTTTGAGTTTATAGCACAATATCAAGGGTTATTTATTCAGTAGATCAGTAGTGAAAAAACACGTCAATAATATTTAAATTTTCCCAAATTATTTTAGTAAGGCCAAGTTTGCAGACCTGATTAAAAACAAACTGATAATTATAATTTCAGTTTATGCAATGATTTTAACTTTCACGGCAATTTGTCTCATTGCACTTCCTCCAGACCCAAATGGGAGAACTATTGTCCCCACAACTCACAAAGTCAGGCCAAGAAGACTTCATAAGAGCACCCAGAAATTGCAGGATTTTGCTTATTTGTTAAACTAAACTGAAAAGGAAAGCTGGAATTCCAGAGTGCAAACCCGTGGCAACCACATCTTCATAGCCTAAGCACGCAGGATTCATACAGTTATTTAAGAGTTTCAGGAACTTATTTTGAAGTTATGACTTTATGGCACGTCCTAACAAGTTAGGAGACTGCCTGAAACAGCACCATGCGTTCTCCCAGCACTAGGTTAGGCCAGCACATTCCGTCTTACCGGCACAGAGGTAGAAGATGCAGCGCTGCTAACGACAGCTGGCTTTAGGGAGGAGGTCAGTAATTTGGCCACCCCTTGAGTGCCCCCGCTAGAATCTCCGTTTGAACCACCAGGTGGGGCTACCAGAGTCAGCTTCTGGGAAACGGGTGTTTTCTTCACCGAGGAGCTTGGAGAGGAGCGGCTGGGTGCCTGTCCCGAGGAAGGCGTCTGCACACCAGGCAGCAAGCTACCAGAGGAGCAGCCCTGGTTTGCAGAAGCTCCAGAGGAGGAGCTGCTGGAAGAGGCCCCGTGCTTGGAGAGGGAGCCAGAAACAAAGGGGGATTTGTAAGATTGTCCTGAAGAGCTAGAGCCAGTTGAGTGCTTTCCTGTGTAGCTGAGAGATGACAAGGATGAGCCTGGGCTCTTGTGGGAGCTGCTGGAAGTTGGGGTGCTGCCTGGTGAAGCAGAGGAATGGAAGCTCTGAGCTTTGGTTGATGACTTGACCTGCTGGAGGAGGGAGCGCTGGGGCAGTGGGGAAGAGGACTTGGGGTTTTGCAGTTTGACAAACGGAGCCGGGGATGTGAAAGCTTTCTGTGGCTGGCTGTTTGAGTGAAAGACCTTCACCTGAGCACCCGGCACTGGGGCGGAGGTCTGAGGCCCGTGGCTAGGTCGGAGTAGGCTGTGATGTTTCTGCTTAGACTGATGTGCATCAGGAAGGATTTTGCTGGGGGAGGCTTGGCAGGAGAGCTCTTTGTAATTTGAGCTCTCTGTCTTTTTGTCTTGAGAGGACTGACCCAATGCCAGTGCCTGCTCAGCCAGGAAATTTAGAGGAGACTGAAGGGAACCAGCAGGGGAGGGTGTAGGGGAAGGGTTGGACTTTGGAAATGTCCTTTTCTCCTCTGAGGATGCAAGATTTGGGATCTTCTCTGATGGAGCTTTTGGAGGTCCAGGAAGAGTAAAGTCAGGGCTTCCTCCTGCTCTGCTGTTCAGCACAGCCAATTCTTTAGAGACGGCATCAAGTGAAGAGGTGGGATTATGAATTAAGTCCTCATCCAAAGAGTCATCCATGAAGGTAGCGGGAGTGCCAGTGCTGCTGGCTGCTTGGGCTGTCCCAAGGGACAAGAGTTCTCTGGTCTGGGTGCTGATGCCCAGAGCTCCTCCCTGGGGCTCTGATGAGAGAGCTAAGGTGCTGCTTGAGTGCATCAAAGGAACAGAAACTGGGATCTTTTTATCTGGTTTACAGGAAGATTCCTGGAACAAAACCACAACAAAAAGCAGAGTCAGAACAGAGGCAGGGATTCTTGCTAAAAAGGGAATAAAAGGTTCGTAGCGTGGGGAGGAGGGGTGCAGTGGGCATGATCTGCACTTGATGGTCCCTCCCTCCCTCCCAGCCGGTACTGCTGCTGTACAGCACCACAGCCAACACCACTGATTTTAGCTACTATTCTCGCAGCTCTCAAGCCCTGTACAGATTATCAGGGCCGTTTCAGGGAACAACTTCCTTGTATCTAATGTATAGGAGGCTCAAAGATGGGCTCTAAGAAGGCAGTCGCTTGACTTTTGGGATATGTCAACCATAAGAACCAGAAAACAAAAGAACTCACCTTCACCTTCACCTTAGTGGGGGCCATAACTTTCTTCTTCGCCCTGTTTGAAAGGAGACAAAAGAAATATGGGCTCACTGAACGCCCTCAGGGAAGCACCCAATTAAGGAGCACACTTGGGCCCTGTTAATGATGATCCACCGAGTCTTTTGCAAAGAACCAAGGGAACAGAGGCAGCATCTCAGGTTGCTAGGATTCAAAACTGTACGACGTTTGTTGCTGCTCTAGGAAGCCCCAGCTCCCACGCAGGGGAATGAATTAGGGAGCGGAGCAGTCTTTGAAATGGTAGCAGAGCAGTGAAAGCACTCAACAGACACATCCTGCACCGGCTGCAGGGCAAGGTGCTACTACAGGAACCCACTACTGACCTAACTATAGCAATACCCAGGCAGAAACTGATACAGAGACTATATTGGAGAAAAGCTATAAATTTCTTTTAGGTTCCCAGAAGAAGCCAAGGATCCAAAAGCATCTGCCAAATTCACGGAAAAACAGATCACTTTATGTCTGGTCAGATGCAATCTCTGGTTCAAGACATCCCTGAGCTGCTGGAATGGTACGGTTGAGGGAAGGATGACTCTATACTCTATTTCATACTCTCTCACACTTCCCCTCATCCAACCAGTGCCAAGAATAGGACCCTCGGTCAAACAGACATCAGCCTACGTCTGTATGACTGTCTACTGTAGACTGCCAGCAAGATCCACAAGACCCTTTGGCATTAAAGCACCTGCCCAGCTGGATTCCGATAGCTCTCCTGATTTGCCACCCACAAGCCTGTCTTACCCACCTTCGCTAGCTTAAGCTCATCACATCCCTCCTTTAACCAAGCAACAAGAAAGAGGGAATCCAGAATTCAGTAAGGACTGACTGAACAGGTAGCAATAATCACAGTGCTGGCATCACACTCCATTTTACCTTGATTTGCCTCCCAGGGATGAGAACAGAGCCCTGACTCCAGTCTGTTGAACAATGCCAGGAGGCAACTTTGCTTCAGAGTTCTTATTTTATTCTTATCTCTGAGCCTACTGTAAGGCACCTCAATAAGACAGTTGCTGGGAGATGTCACACACAAAAAAACTACTCTCCCTAGACCTCCCCAAATGAAGCAGCGCCAAACTATCTGATGGGAGCCAAGCAAGCTCAGGTGCTCCTGCATGATCCACCCAGACCCCAGGGAACGGAGTTCACCAGTTATCGCTCCAAAGGAATGCTGTGCGATACTCACAGGACTGATGTGAGGTGTCCATGTACACGCCTGCTCTCCTTAAACAGTGTCCTAAGAAGGGAAGAGAGCAATGAGAAGTGATATCCAGCAAGACCCAGTAGAGCAGCTGGGATCACTGGAGAAGGAGCTGCACAGTACAGCAGGGGACTTAGTGAAATTAAAACCACAGAGAGAGGAAACAATATATTCATCCCTTTTCCAGGAAAATCCTCTTGAACTCCCCCATTCAATTCCCTCTCTGGGGAGCTATGCTTGGAGGCGCTGGAGAGGCCATTAAGGCAGTTGTTGGACATTAACTAAGGAAAAAGCTCAGCCAGCTTAAAAAGCCGACAGCCAACTGGAGAGGCAGTACAATCATTCAAGCTGGGTGTCACTGCTGCCACAGCAAGGCTGACAGATCATCCAAGAGCTCTTCAACAACTTCAAGGGAGAAAAGTTACCTTCCCCTGCCTCAGATACAGCAATACAGTAACATGGATGAGAAACCTTCAGGTTTTGCATGTCTCTGTTGCCTTTGTGTCCTCTGTAAACAGCTGAGGTGACTTCTTAAATCAACACAACCATTTCTGTAACAATTGTCTAACCACAACCAGTAGAGCTTCATCCAAAATCCTGGACTACTGAGCCTACGCAAACCAGCATCTTACACAAACACTATTTCAGCTAGAAGAGCTGCCACAAATCAGCTGCTTTCTTAGACGTCAGGGAGAAAAGCTCATAAATACACCGTCAATACTGGCATATGGAATATGCTTTCCTTCTGTTACTACCAGACTGAATTTCTGAGACAAAGACTTTTGTCATTCTTTTTCTTTTAATAAGCCAGCTTATTTCAACATATATTCTGTTAATTGCCTTTTAGTGCTAACCCAGAAAACAGAATCATGGCTGGGCCTCTCCGAACACATACACAAAGTTGCTAGTCTGTCAGTCTTCAAGTTCCTCTTAAAGATGAACTTCCGTGCTCTTGCTGACAGTGAATCAAGCTGACTTGTCCATAAAATTGTTTCTATTTTGCCTAGTGTTGCCAATCCCTTCCCTGCCCTTCTGTGTGGCTGTCAGCCTACTCTCTGTCTTTAGACCACAAAGTCCCAGGAGGAGAAACCATTGTTCTTTAGCCATTGGAAAGCAACCAGGAAAACCAATTGTCTTCAGTCATTTTCTAGTTAACTTTGCCATAAGGCTCTCCTGCGTTCAGGGAGATTCTTAGGGGAACATCTGTATGCTTAAAACAGTTTCACCTACAAACTAGGGGAAAAGATTTTCACTTTTCTGTTATTCAAGGAAAGAGTTTGTAAAAATTGGCAAGCTGGGACCCCCAAGCTGGTAGTATTGTCATTAACTAAGAAGGAATCTACACCCATCTCCTTAATTCCATCATTCAGCTCACATACTGAGTAGCTCACTACAACCGTGCACATTATTGTATTTCATGTGCACATGCAGCTGCAATAAATGGTCATGCATTTTTCCAAATGGATCTGTATTTTCCTGTTCACACTCATCGCCCTTACAAACTGCAGTCTCCTTCTTCCTTTATTCCTCATGAACCCCAAACACCAAATTCAGCAGAGAAAAGAAGACAGTGTTGTCCAGCTCATTAAATGTGAAGAGATACAGATTCCAGCAGTAGGACTAAACAGGTGTCCTTTCTTTAAAACTATTGAGCAAAACAAAGCAGGCCAGAAGCTGATGACAGTCCTAGTAGAACAACTCTGCAATTTGCATGGCTCTCTGCAATTGCCAGCTCAATGGCATGGAGGATGGAGGGCACGAAAGAGCAGTAAAGACATAGGATGGCGTAAAGAAAATAGGCCCAATTCCTACTTATTCTGCTGACTCTCTGACATGTTTTGTGTAAGTTCCTGGGTCCCTAAATCTTTCTGTTTTCCTTTCTTATGGGAACAATACAGGGTCTAGGGAAGATTTCCCAAGCGTCTGAAAAGATCCTTTGTAACAAGGTTTCCAGAAACCACAGGCCAGTCAGCCTCACCTCAGTCCCCGTTCTAACCTGTAACCCACTTCCAATGGCATCCATCAAAGGTCAATACTGAGGCCAAGACTACTTAGCATCTTCATTAACAACCTGGATGACAGCCTGGATCGCACTCTCAGCAAGTTTGTGGGTGACATGAAAACGGGGGTACACGCTGGAAGGCAGGGCTGCCATTCACAGCAACCTGTACAGGCTAGAGGAATGGGCTCACAAAATAATTGTGAAGTTCAACAAAGACAAATGCAAAGTCCTGCAGCAGGGATGGACTAATCCCATGCAATAGTACAGGCTGGGACTAACTGGCTAGGTAGCAGCCATATAGGAAAGGACCTGGGGGTGCTGGTGGACAAGTTGAACGTGAGCCACTATTACAACGGTGTACTGCTGAAAGCTAACCATATTATGAGGAGGCATTAGCAAGAGTGTAGTCAGCAGGTCCAATCCTTATCCCTTTCTGTTCAGCACTTGTGAGGTCACATGTGGAAACAGTGGCCAGTTCCAGGGCCCCCACAATACAAGAGAGATGTTGACAAACTGGAGATAGTCCATAGGAGGGCCACTAAGATGGATAGGGAGCAGGGACACATGACATACGTGGAGAGGCTGTGGGAACTGGGTTTGTTTAGTCTGGAAAATAAGAAGGCCAAGGGGGATCTAAAGGCAGTCTTCCTCTATTGAAGTGTGTGGGTGTGTGGGGGTGTTGGTGTGCAGTCATGAAGAAGACGGAACCAGACTTTTCTCAGAGGTGCACAGTAAAAGGCAAGAGGGAACAGTCACAAGTTGCAGCAAGGGAAATTCTCATTGGAAATAAGGAGAAGATCTCATGAAGAGTGATTAAGTACTGGAACAGGGGCCCAGAGATGCTGTGGGAACCTCCATCCTTGGGAGATTTTCAAAACTCAACTGGACAAGGCCCTGAGCAACCTGATCTAACTTTAAAGCTAGCCATACTTTGAACAGGGGATAGGACTAATGACCTTCCGAGGTCCCTTATGATAAGGAATCCCTGGAATACAACATGATTCTTGCTCACCTGGCCTGCATCCAGCCTTTTGGCCAGAGGGGCTTCACCTCTGCATCTAGGAAGGTCTTCACATAATCTTCCAGAGGCTGAGCCTTATTCTTTTCAAGCTCATAGCCATCCAATTTAATCTTCACCAAGTGGCAAAGCAGCTCCCTGAAGAACAGGAAGATTTCAAATATAGTTACTCAGATGAGCTTTCCCCAGATGAAGGTCATTCTGTTTATCCAGGGCTGGATGAATATGCTAAGACATGCCTGGCTCTGCATAATTATTCTGGATCAGACCATAACCAGCCAAGCCCTGGATTCCAAGTCCAGACATTCTAAACACCTTTCTAATAAAATCAACCCTACACTGTCTTCATAAGAAAGAGGAGGGGAAAGGCACATTTCTGTGTGTGTGTGAGTGCACATGTGCACATGTGGATGCACTAGGGGAGAAAAGCCTTATTACCCCTTCCTATCCTAATATCCCGAAACAGCAGAGGTGGTAAACCAGTGCCAGAATTACAAGCCTCATTAACAACCACAGAATTGAACCTCTCCACAACAGTTTGTGCTGAGAGGCAATGAGATCCTGCAGGAAGTAAAGCTTTCTTTATTCTAAATGAATCAGCCATCCATGTAGCAGCACCTCACTTTGTTACAGAATAAGATGAAAAAGACAGCACGATTTATTCTCTCTTTATCCTTTCTCACTCTCCCCTTCTGTTCTTTGTTCAATGCCTGGATGTCAGGGGCAACAATTCCCATCACCTTTAACTGTTTTCACAACCAGAAATCTGGTCCTGTTAAGAGTCTAGTCTGGAGGATCTCAGAATTCAGATGAGTTCCTTCTTTTCCCAAAGGACTGTCACTCTCTTTTGGCCTCTGCCCACTGAGGCTTCTTATCACATATCTCAGAGTTGGCTTGCGCCTGAAACCAGGTTAATTTTGGAATGTATTTAAGATTCAGATTTAATAAATGCAGTAGTGCCTTCCACAAACAGTGCAGTCGGCCACAAACCTTCAAGTTGCCTGTTAGGACAAACGATCAGACCTGCTCTGAAAACAAGATACAAACATTTGAATGCTTCGCATCCAACTGCATAGAATAAGGCAAGTCACAGTTTACTTAAAATCTAAATTGCGCAAACCTGATTTCATCATTCCACTGAAATTTCTTTCGAGGTCCCATGACGCGCTTGCCTCCCTTTTCTTCATCCTCATCATCATCAGAGCAAACTCGATCTCGCTGCTCTTTGTCCTTTTCCTCCTCCAGCATCCTAAAAGGGAGATGGAAATAATGTGAAAGTCATGGTCCTGGAAAGGTGCCATGATCACTTAGCCAGATTCAAAGACAGGATAAAATATCTCTGAACAAGACTGTTCAGAGGTCTCAATAATTGAAGACAACACATGGTTTGGAAGAGGGGCCTGAATCTTTTGCTCTAGCATCCAAGCTGATCCACGTGCTCCATGTTAAGGAACTTCTTGCCCTTAGTACTAGCTACCATTGCATATCTGACAATGCACAAGAGAGACCACAGAACTGATCCAGCCTGACTGATCTTAGACTGTCACGTTCCTAATTACAGATTTGGGTGGGAAAAAAACGCTTCAGTCAAATTCTGGTGCCATCAGTGCTGCAGTAGTTGGCATCAACACTGATAGTACAAAGAACACACGCAGCTTAATTAGGCCAATTAATGCCTGTCATCAATTCTCAAATACAGGACAGAAATAGGAAGGAAACTTCATGAGAGCAGCCTACAGGTCACATGCAACCCGCTGAGAAGAGCTACAGACGAATAATGAGCAAACGATGAGCTTACTTGGCAAATTTCGCCTGAGTATGGGCTTGGCATTCCTCCTGGTACTTAGCCATCTGCTCTGGCATGGCCCTACCAATGGCATCTTTTAGCTTCTGTAGAGGCTCCTTCAGTCGGCCACCCTAGAGCATATCACAGAAAGAACAAGGTTCCACACGGCACACTCCAGCCAAGAGACCCCAAATCTGGCAGGTCTGAGACCTTGTCAGTTCTGAATCCACAGTGCTGGGGTGGCTGGCTCATGCTCAGAGGAGGACAACAGTGCGTAATGGAGAGAACAATTGCGCTCTGGAGATCAGAGGTAACAAGCAAACGAGATGGGGCTGTGCTGCCAAATTTACTCACCTGTTCATAGAGATAAAGCTTACGGGCACGTTTGACCAGAGTGTCCTTACTGCAAGGAAAGAAGGCAGCCAGGTGGGCGTACACCCCTGACCGGATCTGGCTGTTCAGCTCTCGGGTCTGCAGCTCTATGCTGAAGAACAGGACACATAGAACATTGACCAGGGATCTGACATGGATTCTCTAAGCAATAGAAAAGCAATTCTGACAACTGGGGAGGTGGACGCAGGGAGAAGAAGGAGACAGCACAAGTCAAATTACATGAAGGTTCATTGGATCTCAAAATCAAGGGACTCAAGCCCTTTCTCCCAATCTAGGCCTTTCATTGTAGTGTCAGAGTACCTTGAAAAGCAACAGCAGTATTTCAGCAGCGTTACTGCATTTCTTCCTGGCAGCTGAGATGCAGGAGTGTTAGGCAATGAAATGAGAGACTGCTTATGTCAGATGCTACTGCAGTCTAATTCAGGATAATACAGCATAAAGTGTTAGTTTGTGGGCCTGATCTTACTTCCCAGTGAGTAGATTACAGAGGTTAGTGTGTGCCAAACCTGTCTACATGGTTACATATAGACTTAAGAGATTAGCTTTTTAAGACCACATCTCAATGGCAATAAACTTGTAAACACCCCTAACTGATTTTGGTGCAGAGTCATAGAGATCCACTTATATCACTTCTGAAAGTGGTTAAAGTTACTAGCTTAAAAAAAAAAAAACATTACGACTGGACTGTATGTGCAGTCAGTGCAGGAATGTTAAAAGTAACCTACACTTGAAAAGAGTGGGAAACAGACTCCCAAACTTCCCTTCAGCAATTCCCTTCAAGTGCCTTGATAAACCTTAATAAAATTAAAGCCTCTGTGTAGGTATTGCTCTAAGATGATCACAAAGCTGCATGCATTCACCAGCCTTCTCCATGCACTTGAAGAAGAATGAAGCCATTATCAACAGCTGCATGAAGCAACACTGGCATTCTGTAGATGAGGGACTCAAAAATATAGAGCCAGTTCCTTCAGTTTACACAGAAAACCAGTAGCAGGTTGGGAACTGAACACAGCAGCCTTATTCCTGTTACAAAATAGTCCATGTAGCATACAACTTGAACAGCAAAGAACGTGCTTGACATCTCTGACAGGAAGAGATTTACTGTTCTTGTATCAAGCTACAGTCACAGGTCAAATGACCAAATTTAAGTATACGATATCAAGTGTTATCTTGAAAACAGGAGGCCTGGATACATCCCCTCCAGCCTTCTCTTATCCCAAGAATATATCACATTTCAACAGAAAGTCATTTCTAGGAGACATTCATGTTATCCTAGGCACGTTCTATGTGGAGGACGGGCATGAGCAGATCCACACAACTGCTGCTAAACCTGCTCCTAAATTTAATCAAAAAAAAAAAAAAAGCTCCGTATGACATTCTTTTTTCCCAACATTAGTCCCGCTCCCCTTTCCTGGTAACACTTACTCCAGTATGATGTTGTTGATATCCTGAGTGAAGAATCTCTGTTTGCCTTCTCCTTCTGCAGCTCTGGCAGCCTGGAAAACAACACAAGTCATCCATTCACTTACAGACAGGCACAAGTAATCAAATGTTTTTCAAATCACTTGAGAAAGACTGTAAAACAAGCCACAGTTTCACCCCACCTAGCTCTGCACCTGCTACTCCACACGCTGCAGGTGCTCAGAGCTCACCGCCTATGGCAGAATGTGGACAGGACTGACCAAATCGTCACTTGGCAATTCAAAGACCAAACAATCAGCTAGCTGGGGAAGGGTTGAGCTTGGCTCACTGATGCTAACCACCTCTTCAACAGCTGAAGACAGACACCAGGACACTAGCTTGAGCCTGTTTGATACATGCCCCGGGATGAATTTACTAGCTTCTCACTTGGAGGGTTTGCTGTGTTTGATTGCAATGAATGACAAAATGAATTCCATGGTGTTCTGCAACCCTTGCTGTCAGATTCCATCCTACTCTAGTCATCTGTTCCTGTCACTTTCTTTAAAGGCAGTGCACCTATTTAAATGAGAAAGGCTTTTAAATGACAGGGATCAGAGGATTTTTTCAATAAGTAACTGAGGAGCATAGTGAAGCCCTAAACAAGTAGGGCACTGTGCTCCTGCTGTCACTGGAACAGAGGCACCGGATGCTGCACACCTGGAAGAGGAGGGGAGACAAAGGGAAGCAAAGGAGGCCAGACATATGTTGCTGAGGGACAGTCCAGCCAGAAGCATCACACAGATAGGAAGACACCCTGGGAATGAAAAATGCACCAATGCTCAGAACTCTCATAATTAGTCCACACTAACCATGTCAAATACCATCGAGCTGAAAGGTTTCCAATTATTCTCCTGCTTTAATATTTCAATTGTGCTAATGAAGAACCATCAAGCCTGGAACTGGAGCCACTCTCTTGGCAGCAGGTCCAAACCTGTCTCATTTTGTTCCATCCAACACTATCACCAAACTCACAGGAAACTATCTGGAACTCCCCACTCTACAGAAAAGCTTCAAAGGGGAGGAGGAGCACAGTCATCTAAACCAACAGACTGGCAGAAAAAGGCCAAAATGTGAATTGCAAACTGCAACCCTGCCCTGCCTGTGCCCTTTCCTCTTACAGCTCCCTCACTTCAAGTCCAACCCAGCCATTTGAACTGGTAAGACCATGACCTGCCCACAAACACCTCAGAATTTGGATTCTCCTGTCCAAACACACTGCAGTTGAGTGCACTGGAGTTGTTAAAGTAGAGTGAAGATTCTTCCATTTCCTGGGGCAAAGGAGATGGCTTTTTGGAAACTGCCTTGCTTGGCATAATTCCCACAGGAAGAAGGGACAGTTCTAAGACATGGATTTAATTTCACACTAGAGCTGTTAGATGGAGTAACGTGAGCATAGAGCTTGCCCCTGGAACAGGAAAGATCATCCTAGTCATGCTTAATGAGGGTCAGGGATACTTATCACCAGGCCTTCTAGACCAATCTGGACATTAAGCTAAGCAACCAACAGAAAGAGGAGTAGCCATAGGGGATGTGTTATTTCCTATCAACACTATAGAAACTGAAAAATCCTGCTCAGGAAGCTTCCGAAACTACCACTGCAGCACATAGAGCTCTGCCCAAAAAAATCACACACCCATGAAAAATACGTCCAGTGGGAAAATAATTCCAAGAGCTGAATGAGAAAGCAGAAGATTGCCAAGGAGCTTTTACAGTCTCTCCTGAGTGGCGCAAAACTGATGGAAGAAGCAAAACTGGGATTAACCACAAGGCACCACATCAAGTTAATGAGACCTTGCGTGGGAAAGGAGACCAGGGCATGATTTTGAAATTCCCTAATTTAAGGTTTTAAAGTTCAGGCTGGTAAGAGATGAATTTATGCCCAGAAGGTATACATTCCCCAAGCGATCTCTGTCTGCTATGGGTCATACACAGCTGGTGCTATCAAAAGAGAAGACTTAATACTAAAGAGAATCTTCAACATGAACATTATTTTAGGAAGGAGAGGGTTAAAATCAAATCAGTTGAAGTGCAAAAGGAAATGCCTCAGGCTCCATTTAACCTATAGGATTCTCCCACTGGGAGAATGCTGGGATGGAAGATACCTGGTTCTCAGACAGAAGTATGGCACCTTTCCATTCCCATGTGCAATGGGGTTCATGTCCCCAAATCCTGACTGACCCAGGGGCTTCAGTTTGCTGAATCTTGCTTTTCCTACTTGAATCCTTATCCTAATGTAGACAGTCCAGCAACAAGAAACAGCAGCAGGAAAATCTGAGCAGGAAAATCTGGGGGTAATCTGCTATTACACTATCTTGCAGCAGTATAATGATTAACGTGATATCAAAGGAGCCTCTGTAACATTCAGCTCTAACTCAGATATAGTTCAGAGGCAGCTTTTTCAGTGTTATCCATTAACAGTATGAACAGCATTCTTTTTATCAGACACATTTAGCTGTGGCGATACTTCAATTCCTATTTCTCTTCCATCTGTTCACCACCACTATATGCATTTCAGATTTCTCAGTAGGATACAGTTATCTTTAATAGAAGCTTATCTTTAGTAACAGGAGCTATTAAGTAACAGAGATGCTTAAGCAACAAGCGCTCTAAGATGACCCCCTGCCCCAGAAGGCAGAATACACCCCACCGCAGAGGTACCAGAGCACTGTTTAGGACTTAAAATCAAATGCTTAAATGCAACACTAGTAGCAGGACCAAAACATCTCAGTGTCTGTTGACAGCCCTTATATCAGAGAAACCTCACAGCAAATCTGAAAGCGCACTTCTTCAACATGCCAGGAGAGGGCTCCTTGACCAGCACCTCCTCCGCAACAGTAGTTCCCAAACTGGCCACAGCTTTTTGGAGAAGATGGGCAAGTCCCACAGAAGTCCAGTTGCAGGAGGAGCTGCTAGTGGAACCCTTCTAGAAATTAATATATCCCATTCCCTAAACAGTCCCACAACACAGAGATATTAAAGATGAGAAAGGATTTCAAATTGCCAGCAACATAGCTCCACTTCGGAGCTGCCAAATTGTAGTTGTGCTTCACTGAAGGTCTCCATCTGTGAGTGAAAGAGGAAACAGTTCTAACAAAACCTCAAGCCCAATCCATAGGGCTCTTCACACCTTCTCACGTTGTAGAACAGGCAACCCTTTTCAGGTGCACCTACTCATTTTATACACAGAACGCTGTGTGCTACTTCATGGATGCTTTCCTGATCACTATAGCACATTAAAACTATAACAGCGGAACAAAAGGCCCCCAGCCTCTCTAGTACATATTTTAAGTCCATTCATGTCAAACTGACTTTGGAAATTACCTATTGCATCAGGTCCATACTCTGCCAAGAGAGGTAAAGAAACCATACTGACAGTTGAACTCATGAGTGTTATAGTCATCAGGTAACAAGGCCAAGGACCAGCACTTTGCCACTGTGACATCAGAGTATTCAAGAAAGTGACTTGGCCACAACAGAAAACAGGGTGATATAAAACTGCGCTCCCACTCGGCATTGTGAAATTCCCCCACTGGAGCATGCTCTGTCTCTGGCTGAAGCCACACATGAACCCAACAAAGCTTCCCCTCCTCCAGTAACCACACAGTCATGCTGCCTCCCAACTAACTGCCATACCTGAGTCAGTTCTTTGATGCGTTTCTCCAAAGGGGCTGGCACTCCTTCTGGGAGGGACGGTGGGTGCTTGAAATCCTGTTCTAAGCCCACTCCAAGAGGATCACTCCCATCCTCCACATCATGAAAGGGACTCCCCTCTGGGGATTCACTGAGGAGCCTCTCCAAGTCTAGATCAGTTAATGAGTCCATAGCAGTAGCTGCCTGAAGCAGGTCATTATCACTGGCCTGGCCAAAGAGTGAAAGCAATGGGTCAGACATCGTCTCCACCTCCCTTGGGGCTGGAGGTTCTGCTGGTGAGGGAGTCACGACCTTCGGCTCTTCATCTCTTTTCTTCTGAGCTTCCTTCTCCTTCTGAAACTTCTTTAGCATCTCCTTGACACTAAGAGCTCCGGAGTATTTCTTTTTCTTCTTCTCCTTACTTGCATTTAATGCTGTAAAGCTGTAAGCAAAGAATGGAGGAGGAAAGGGAATTGAGAAAGGCATAAAACAAGATCAAGGAGAAGAGAAGAGGATACCTTCATCCCAGTTCACTTCAGCCACATGCGCCAATCCCCTGGAAAACCTTAACTCCTTAACCCGTTACAGCAGGAAAAATAACCTACTGCCTCTCAAGGCCATAGCTAAGAGTTAAGAATAAGACTGAAAGCCTGAAACTTCAGCTCAAGAACCACAAGCCCCACATGACGCAGAGAATTGTCATTCATTTAATAACGTCTCTCTTTTTTTAGCAACTTATCTATCAGGTGTTCTTCTATCCAGTCTTAATCATACTTAAGAATTTCAGTTCCTTTTCCGTAATCCATTCGGCTTTAAAAATGCATTTGTCCCAGAACTCCTATGCCAGATTTAATAACCATTGCCCACGAAACAATAGTCGGCAAATGGCAAGAATTACGATGTTCAACATAACTGGCCTCAAGCAGATATTTCTGTACCAGAGGAAACATTACCAGTCTGTCAGAAACGAGCAGGACTTGACGATACACATGAAATTGCTGTTCTGCATGCTCGTGCCTCTCAAATCAACTTCACTTTTTTTTTTTTTGAGGCCACTGATTGCATTTTAAGGTATATAGTGTAGCTTCCCTCCACATAGCAACTTTCTCTCCACCTGTGACCCTCCATCCTAGGGACCATAAGGTAAAGCTCTTCTCAGCTGTGCAGTTTGAAATTGAGGGGAAGAGGAAAGAGTCCTCTAAGAGGTTCATCACCTGTGGAACCGCTCACACCAGGGATAGGACTGCCTCAGCACAAAACTTACTTTGGTGTACAAGTGTACCTATCTCACTCCTTCAAACTTCTCCACCAAGTTATGCTCTTATTTAATCATTCACATTATTGTAGAAAGGAAGAACGGGAAATGCACAAACAATTAGTGCAGAGGAACTGAAGCAAGAGAGTTAGTGTGACAGAAGCTGATTATACTTGATGCTTCTTGCCTCTATTAGAGCCACCAAGGCAAATTCCCTTTCCTTATTCCGTACTGAGGAATCGCACACTGGTCGTACCATGTCAGACACGCGGGTTTGCTGCTGCCAGAAAGCAAACCCATGCAAGAAAAAGGAAATCTAAAAGAAAAGTTACAGGACGGAGGAAAAACACAGAAGAAAAATGCAGCAAAAGTGGAAAATTTAGCAGATACAGAAATCAAAACAAAGAGACCAAGCAGACCAAAGCAAGTACAGATCAATGGAAAAATGAGAAGATTTTTGGAGATGAGAATAACCGTTCATATTCATGGCACAAAAGGCCAGAAACTCCAAAAGTGGAGCACTCCTCCAAGAACCATTTTGGGCAGGAGTACAAACTAATGGCAAGGGACTGGAGCAACACACAACTTTCTTTTCCGCTCTGGACGCCCATGGCCTTCCAAACTCTGTCTCCCTGCTAGCCAGACACTTACAGCTCTTGAGTTCATGTCCTTCCTTCATGCCTTTCCCTCCCCAACTTCCTCCCCAATATTCACTGCTTCTCTTTGAACACTGTCCTATATCTGTTCCCACCCTTACTGTCTAAACAGGACACCAAGAAATAAAAGCATTTCAGGCACCTGTGTCCCTCCCTGCTCTGATACTCTTGCTGGGGAGCTCTGCTCTTCTCCTAATCATGAGCCTTTTATTGTTTTTTCCCTTGAAGCACTGGCAGTTTATCTGTTGGTGCTTATGCAGCACGCACCAAAGCAACCCTCCACTCCAACGTGTACTACTGCAGTATAACAGATGCCACCTGTAGCCTTGAAGCAAGGTGACAGGCAGCAAGCCACGCCCTATTCCTTCTTACCCAGCTTTTGGGAACTTGGACTTTTTTGACTTCTTTTCCTTGTCATAAGAATCATCTTTCTTCTTCTTCTTCATTTTTTCACCTCCATCTTTCAACTTCCGCTTCTGGAGGGAATTAAAACCAAGTCAGAATCAAAGTGCCCCCGATCTTGGAATTAGAGCAGCACCCCCAGAGCCACTTTGGGCCCTTCACCAATAATCTGAGAACAGCTCATTCCCTAAACGGTATATTAACCCAAACTGCATACATGCATCACCACTGTTCTGGCACATACGGTTTTCAACATTTCAGCAGCGCGCCCAGCTTTTACGCTAGAGAAGATCCTATCAATAAAGGTGACGGAACACCAAGTGTTCCTGCTGTCTCCCCTCTTAATCACGTCACTTTAGCTTCATGGCAATGTGGCTGTCTCCAAAGACTTATTACTGCAGAACAGAGGCACTAGCTTCCCAACGGTCTTCCCTCTCTAGCAAACCTCAGATGAGAAGAGAATAACCCTCCAGTACTTCTTGGCATCCCAATAATGCTAAACAACTCTTCAGGGTGACAAGGGGCTGCCCTTATTTCTACTCTAGGAACCAGGGAACACCAACAATAGTCTCACATGTGCCAGACAAGCTTCATTTTACTATCAAATACAGGAAGAGAATAGGTTTTGAAGAACTCATTTACAAGAGTAAATGCTCTACATCCCCCCTCCTTATCCCATCCACACCAATTCACAAATCCTTCTCTCTCTTGTATTTCAATAGCCTTTTCATGCAGCAAATCCACCATGCTCTAACACAGGGAACACTCTTAGAAAGCTGGCATGCTGACCTTGGGAGTTTTCTTCTTTTTCTCTTTAACATAGTCATCTTCATCATCAGATGCTTGCCGAAACTGCAGTGTTCCTGAGTTGATGTAAAACCCTCCATACTTCGTAGTTAGAGAAGCTGGAACGAGCTCATCATACTGGTAATAAAAAAGAACAATCTATTGATATTGTAAGTTTTGTTATTTTATTCTGTATTTGAGCTGTTTGGAGAAGGGAACGGAACTTGCGCCTCCCAAAAAGAGGCTGGGCTGTGGACACATTTGCTAACTAGCACTCTTCTGCCATACAGTTGCCCAAGGACTTCTCATTACCCAGCCCTGGCATGTTCCTTGCTTGTACTGTGTTAACGTTCTCCCCAGGTGCCAGTTCAGACCCCCCCAGGCACCTGAGTTTAACCACCCTCGCACCTGCCCAAGTACTCACTGCTTCAGAATTATCAATGAAGGAGTCAGACTCGTCGTATCCATACCCCATATCAATCAAGTCCTGAATACGGTCCTTTCTACGTCTCTTGCCACCCTAAGCAATAAGAGATTGATGATTGCTCATCTTTCATTTCTAATTAGCACAGGAATAGCCCTGATACAGGACACATTCTCTCCAGTATAGACAAGAAAATGAGTTCTTTTTCCAAGCAGCAGTAGAACTAAATAAGCGTTAACTCACTTCATACTGTAATCTAAGGATACGGTAAATCCAGTTTTAGGTCTTGTCATATGGAATCAAAAATAGTGCAGACATATGAAACAAAACGTTGACCTAACAGAAAATCTTTTTGACAGGTTAGCTTTGTGCCAGCAAACTTTATGTTGAATCAGTTCTGCACCCCTTAAAACTTTCTGCCAGGGCAGAGATGGCTGACCCTTCCATAACTGCCATAAAGGCAGTACTAGCTCTGTATTGCGTGCATCAAACACACACACAGTGCATTAAGATGCCCAATAGGTCAAATTCATATTGCAAGACAATTTAGCAATTCACAGATCCAAAAGAACCAGCTGTAAAAAACAAAGCATAGTTTTGTCGCCATCTATTGAAGTAAAATAAGAAGAGGAACAGCAAGGAAATGGGTAAGATATCAGATAGCTTCTCTCACACTACCAAGGGTACTATCTTAGGGGTAGTAGAGTGACCAAAGCGCCATACTTGGAGACTTAACAGATTATGCTGCGCCACAACAGCAAGAGCCAGAAATTTATTTTTGCTTAAAAGATTAAATTTCATAAATTAAATTCATCACATTAATGCCATTTGCTACTACAAGTGAGACTGAAATTCATTTAAATCAGATTGTCATCTGATTTAAGAATGTATCTGGACTATTTTAGCATACCGCAGCCCTGAGACAGAAAAAGAACATTAGATAAACGTTAGAAACATTAGAAAAAGAACGAAGATGAAAGATTGCACAAGAATAGGAACATAAGAGCTAATAACCTCTAATTTCTATTCAAGTACTACTATTTGAGAGCTGAGCAGCATTATCCAGTCTAAGGAACAACAAAATATAAAGAAGAAAAACATACATATTTTTCTTCAAACTTCCTAGCAAGAGCCTCCACTTTATGCCTTTCCTTTTCTTCATCATTGAAGGGATCAGCAGGCTCTTTCCTCTATAGAAAGAAACAGAGATAAAACCATCAGAATCAATCCTGTCACAGTGCCACCAAATCTATTCCACATGCATTAAATCCATCATAGCTGGAACATCCAGGCATAACCTCAGACAATCAGCCTTTACTATAGTATTGTGAGAGTGTTGTTTTTCTCAGAATAAGTCAGCGAGAAGAGAAGAGAAGAGAAGAGAAGAGAAGAGATTAAGCTTCTTAGAGATAAACCACAGAAGTGTAACAAGCAGTATACTCTTTTAACTCAAATCACGCTCTCACAGAAGAAAACAAGAAGATGGTGAGACAGTACCGTGTCATCAATCTGCAGGTACTGCTCAAGTCCTTCCTCCTTTTATAACTCCTGTCCAACAGCTGAAGAACAAATCTGGGGCACAACCCTTCCCTCCCCCAGCAGTTCTTCGCTTCACATGAACGCTCTTTGGCAGCTAGAAGTCAAAAGAACTTGCTCTTATCCTGTTCTTTACTGCACGCCATTTCTGCAACTCCCGGGTGCTCTCGTGACACACACACAAACATTTATTGCCTCACTATAGTCTCTAGGTTTGGGGGCTGCTCTCTCAGCTGGTTCTGCACCTGTCTGCTGCTCCTGACTCTCTCAAAAGAGCATCATGAGCTTGTCAACTGACTGTAAAACAGTTCTGAAGAGCAATACAAAAAACGACTAGAATCCCATCAACCTTCTCAAGCCTCATGACCCTGATGTCATAAGCAGCAGCGGCAACGGTGCTGCGCTAGGATACCAGAGTTCCTCCATGCCACAGGGTGAAAAAATACTATTCTTTTCTAAGTACTTTTTCATTGAAAAAAAAAAAAAAACCTAATACAAAATGAAGATGCTACAGAAATTGGCATACCATCGTATCCTGAAAACTTTCTTTCAAAAGGCAAGCAAAATTGTCAGACAACACCTGAAAGAATGATACGCACCAGACAGGAACAGATACCAAGCTCTAAGGTGAAAAACCTTCACGTGCAGTACAGGGGCATCCCCAAAAAGATACAGGCACCCATTGTAAAACAGTCATAAAGGTCTCTCTTTCGATACTGTTTGGAAGACATTTGTACTGGCTAGCAAGGCAGATTAAAAAAAAAAAAAAACCTTTCAATCAGGCAATTTCAAACTGATTCAGCATTACTTGACATCATGTGCCAGATTTTGCCAGGAACAGATCACCTACTTGATGTGAAACTCCAGGGAAGACAAAGCAATAAAGACAGCGTGGCCTGGCAGCAAGAACACGTATCCAGCCATCAGATACCCCGGATTCTAATCCCAGCTCTCCTACCGGCTTGAAGTTCGACCACTGACTAATCATTTCACCTGTCAATGCCTTGCAGATAACATACAACCAACTCTCATAACTACTAAAAAAGTAATACTGCAGAAGTGCTTGAAATTTTCAGACAAAACATACGCTTCACCACAAGCCAAAAGAGGATGCTTACCTTGTCTCCTGAAGAACTACCTTTTACTTTCCCTCGACTACTCTTTAGAAGGTCTGGGTAGAAAAATTCTGGACAACGCTTGTGATCTGGCTCGAAGAGAGTTAGTGTGATTCGAACTGCTGCTGCAGCGGGTTCAGAGTCCTGGGGATGCTCTGCATCCTCTTTGCGAGGCTTTTTCAAGAAACTGGAGCTTAGCGGGCCGTGGAGAGTGGTGAACTGAACCCTGTGGGGTTCCGTCATGGCGATAGCCCGGTTTTACCAGTTCTCATGGCACAGTCCCCATCGCATCAGAAAAGTTCTGCCCAAATTGCATACATACACAGAAGAGGATTTCGCCGCCTGGGTAAGGATATAGGAGGGCGCTGGAAGCGGAACGAGTTATTTGATCTTGAAGCTTTCCTAGGAAATGACAGGGGCTTGTGCTGTTAGCGCTTGCTGCAATCATCGAGAAAAGAAAACAGAAAGGAAGAAAGCAGTCAGTCCTCGGACCGCAGCTCCTTCCGAGGTCGGCAGTCCCCTACTCTGCTACTTCTGCCCATCCCCGAGTTTCTCCCCTAACACCACACGACGCCGTTTCTACAGGCTGAGGGGAGCACAGCGGGCCGGGGAGCCAAACGACCCCCGCGAGGCGGCCGGGATGCGGCCCCGCAGGGCTCCCTCAGGGCTCTGCCACCGCGGCCGGAGCTCTG